TAAATGCCTATTAATGTCAAAGTGGATTTTTCCCCAATTTCTTGCTTAAGCCTCTTAGCTGTCAGTATAGGAAAAGGAGGGGAAAAAACCCAAATCTTTTCCCTTTTCTCTCTCCTTCGCAGCTTAAAAATCTTCTTAGAGAACTATGTTATTGTTTTTTTTAATAGTTTCAATTCCAGGGTACCTTATTTCTTGCTTTTGCTGTTTGACCCAGTCAACCAAAACTTTCTCCTCTTATCTTCCTCCTGCACATTCTTTTCTGGTCGAGTTCTTCTTTGTGGTGGCCATTTCTGACCACTGCTACAACCGCCTCTGGTAAAGGGAGTAATAGCCAGCTGGGGAGGAGAGATGTGGCTCTCCTCAACCCTGCAGGCAGTCTCCCCCCTCTTCACCACCTCTTCGGGGTGGCTTAGCCCCGAAACCAGCCGGCTCGGGGCGCTCCAGCGGCGAGCACAGATCGAAGCCTCGTAGAAACGAGGTTTTGGTCTGTCGCCGAAGAAGCTCAAACCGGAAGTCTGTAATTCTGTTCTCAAGTGGTCTTTGTTGGCTAGGTGTTTGGTTCTGGAGATGAGGATCTTGGCTATGGAGTTGATCTGTGCAGGGTGGTGATGGGATTGTGCGTTTAAGTAGCGGCTGGTGTGTGTTTTCTTCCGGTGGATGGTGTGTCCTAGGAAGCCATTGGCTTTTTTGTAAATTAGGACGTCCAGGAAGGGAAGTTGGTTGTTGGCTTCTGTTTCCATGGTGAATTGTATTTTGGGGTGTAGGCTGTTGAGGTGTGTGAGGAAGTTGTCCAGTTTTTCTTTCCCGTGTGGCCAAATTACAAAAGTGTCATCTACATATCTAAGCCAGAGTTTGGGTTTGTGTTCGGATTGGTTTCAAAGTGTTCCATGTATAGGTTAGCGATTACAGGTGAGACGGGTGATCCCATAGGTGCTCCTTCTATCTGTTTGTATCTTTGTCCATTGTAGATGAAGTATGTGTTGGTTAGGCAGTGGTTGGTCAGATCTAGGATGTGCTGAGGGGGGTTGTATTTGTTTTGGATGGCTGTCAAGGCTTCTTTAATAGTTACTTGTGTGAAAAGGGATATGACATCAAAGCTCACGAGTAGGTCGCTGGGTTGTAGGTTTTCTTTATTGTTTCTATGAAGTGGAAAGAGTTTTGTACGTGTGAGGTGATGGATTCTGTGTAGGGCTGGAGTTGTTTGGTAAGAAATTTGGCAAGATTCTGTAGAGGTGAGCCTATGGAGCTGACTATGGTTAGGAATGGTGTTCCTTCTATGTGTATCTTGGGGAGGCCATAGAGTTTAGGGCATCTGGATGGTTTTTCTCTGGGGATGATTCTTTGCTGGATCTCTTCACTGATGGGGGAGGCTTTTATTTTGGATTTGGTGGTTTTTTCCAGGTCGGTGGTGGGTATTTAGAGGTTTGTAAGCGGGGTCTTGGAGTAGGTTGGATAGTTTGGATTGGTAGTCCAAGGTGTTCATCACGACCATGGCATTTCCTTTGTCTCCTGGGAGAATGATTATGTTGTTGTCTTTCCTCAAGTTGGTGAGTGCTTTTTGTTTTTCTCTGTGTAAGTTGCTTCTGGGTGGACTGCTGGAGCAGAGGACATTGGTGACTTCAAGTTTAATTTTATTGGCTACATCTGGGTTAATTTTGGTCAGGCACAAGCACGAAGCCGAAAGCACCAGCCTAAAGATGGCGAGTGGGACCTCGTCGAAACGTTGCCAAGATACTCTCAATCTTACACGGGTAAAGACCTATACACGCCAAGACCTATATATATATTTGTATATGTGTGTGTGGGTGGGTGGGTGTATGTATATGTATACACACACACACACACACACACCATTGTTCAAGGACAATTTACACTTAATGTAAAATTGAATGTAATTCCATATGAATAAATGTAAATGTTAACATTTTATTAGTATAAATATTAATATATATTCAGTAATACTATATTATACATTATATAATTCCAATGTTTTCATGTTTCTTTCTGCAGCCATCATTAAAATATTTCATAAAATTGATTACAATATTATATAGTCCATTTGAATTTCTAGAGCTATTAAAATTGAAATCTACAGTAATTCTAACAATGACTTCATTGCTATATATTTAGCTTACACCTGCATATACCTGTAATCAGCTCCAAGAGATGCAGCAATAGCATTCAATTCACTCTGCTTTTTACTGAGCTTCTTACTGACGCAGATGACAACATCCGCTAAAGGTTTTGATTCTTCTTCCTGATCAAGTTAGGAAAAATATTGGAACACTTGAGTTTTCAACATTTCCAAATTTCCACATTCATTTGTTTATACAACTCTTTAAAAAGTTAATATTTAAGGGAAGGGAAGGGATACATTTAATTCTTTCTTTCAGTAAAATAGCTCCATTGTGCTTAGTTAAAAAAAAGTTACCTCCAAATAAAAATGGCACTGCTAGCTATTACAACAATGCGCTCAGATGAACTGGATGGCATCACTAGAGAAAGAATAAATAAAACTCAAGTCTTGTGTCAGTAGTATCATATAACTAGCTATCAGTTACTCTAAATTCTTTCTTTTGGTGAAAGAGTAAGCTCCTCTTGAGGAAGACTGCCCTTAAGAAAAAGGCTAGTAATAAAATGAATTGGATCCTCAGAATGGAGAGGCCCCATTCCTAAATCACTCATCAGAATGTAAAATCTTACACTATGTGGTTTACATATACATTTTTGAAATGTCTCAAGAGCATCCTTCACTAATTTCAGAATTCTTAACAAGAACTGCCTTGTTATTTTTCATAACTAAGCTCCGCTAATTTCAATTCAGGTATAATTAAGGATAAAAAAATCCTTGGTTTTATTTTTAAATGACATTACAAAGTGATGTCACACCCTCAGATCATTGAAGCATACACAATGTTGCCCATTCAGTTCATATTATGATGCAATAAAGATTTACTTTTAAAAAAACCTGCCCTACATGACTCAAAGATTATAATGATTCAAAGGTTTGAAAATTACTAACACTTCTCCAACACAAAAATTTCAGCAATATAGCAAAAAAATGTGTAATTATGCAAGCTGAAGCTCCATACATCAGGTCAGCACAAATCTAAAAAAGCCTCCATAATAAATTATATTTTTCTTTTCCCAGTTCTATGTCTATGCTTACTTCTGAGATTTCCAGTGAAGGTATGGCAAACTGAAAAGTTCTGCAAAAGCAGAGCTGATAACTACAGCAAAAACTAAGGAGCCAGTGAGTTCCTCTCCAATTAATAAATGGATGGGAGATGTGCTCCAGACAGTTACTCCTCACAAGATTACAGGACAGTGGTATTCCATTTCTAAGTATTGGACCCATTTTGCTCACACTATGGCAGAGTCTTTTAAAGGACACCTCACTGTCAGGATATTAGCAGTTACCCCAATTAAATTATAAGTCTAATTGTCTTCAGAAATTGCCTATTAGCTATTCTAAATCTATATCAGCAATTCCAGGTAAACCAGACAGGACAGACAACTAGATGAGTTATTTTATTGTAAAGCTATATTAACAACCTTTCAAGTCTAAAAGTACAAAATTTCCCTCTGCCATTTTTAACTGTTTGACCCCTGAGGGTGGGTCATTGCTAAGTGGATGACCGTTAAGCCATTGGGGATCCCTCTCTTGTCTGATTGTGTCCTAGGCAGCATTCCTTTCCCCTCTTCCCCAAGGTCATTCCCATGTTCCAAGTTATTAGAGTTATTAACCTATCGGAATGACAGGTTTAAAAAGTCTTCATGGGGTGAATTTATCTTTGTCTCTTAAAAGAAAAATTGATTAAAAGCTTAGAAATTAAAGGGTTTGAAGTAAAGAGCAAAAAGATACAAAAGATTTTTGTTAGGAATGATAGTCACCTAACAGTTGGGTTGGCAATATATAAACCAAGATAGTTATTTAATACTGTTGTATCTTTAAGAGAGTGCTGTAATTGTGATTGGCTGAGATTCCTCCGACGGCCATAAGATGGAGCCAGAAACTTGGTTTGTTCTCTTCTTGCATTTCCTTGTTGCCTTTTGCCTGATCGTCGTTCTGCTTGGATTTCTGTGAGTCTTGCAAACTGTTAGCAAACTCCGTTTACTGAATTTTGTTTATCAAACTGGACTTCATTTTTGGATTATTCCTGGACTGATTGTATTGAATGCTACCTGCTTTAACCGTGTATGATTTGGACTGTTTGTTGGACTTTGTTTACCCGTTTACAGGAAGTAAAATCTACATTTTACTATTCAGTGTATTTGTATGCTGGTTGTGCGTTATTCCTCACCACTTTCACTACGTTTCCCTGAGTGCACTCATTCTCCTAACGGGGAATGCCTCAACAATTTTGATTTAAGAAAGTTATAAATGGAATAAGGATCCAGATAAATTTGGAAGACTTTTACTATAAGATTTTGGAACTAATTATAAAAAAACTTGTGACAGACTTATTCTGATTGCAAGTCAAAAGACAAGTGATTATTTAGAAATTAGGCAGTAGAGGGGAGATTTTAAGCAGAAAAAAAAATTAAGTCTGATATCAATTAACACAGGGAATGATATAGAACATTATGAAATCCAAATTATTAAAGAAAATCTTTGAAAAAACGAAGCCAAAAATTAGTAACTACAATAGCAGCACTATCAATAATGATGTCTACTTCTACCGTGTTTCTTAGAAAATAAGACAGGGTCTTATTTTCTTAGACACCAGAAAAAAAGGCTAGGCCATCTTTTTGAGAGGTGTCTTAATTCCCCCCCCCCCATGCACCTCACCTACCCAAGCTGCTTGTTTGGTGGCCAAAAGGAACGCCCCACATGCACCCTTGCCTGTCTACCAGGCCGTTTCTGTAGGGTTGAAATAAGTTATTCCTCAAGCTTAGCACAGGCTGAGGGAAGAATGGCAGGCAGGAAAATTCTTCCTCCACATTTTCCTCTCGTTCTCCAAAAAGCCTCTATTGCAAAACTTCAGCATTCGGAATGGAGGCTTTTTGGAAAATGGCAGGAAAATGGGGAGGGGAATTTCCTGCCTGCCACCCATTCCTCAAGCTCCCTCTCCCTCCCCATTTTCCTGCCTTTCGCAACAATGGCAACACTCCAAGCCTTCAGCATATCCCAGGACCCTGCAAGGCTTGTTGTAGCGTTGCACATGCAAGCGCCGGCATTACTGTGAGGTTCATGACATTGGCACAGCCTCTTCAAGCACGACCCTGCAAAGATTGCTGTGCCATTGTGTGTGTGAGCGCCGGCATCGCTGCCAGTTTGGATGCACTGGCATAGACACTCATAGGAGGATGCCAGCTGCACCGGTGTGATGAAGCTCACGGAGGTGCTGCCATTCATGAGTGCAATACCACAACAAGCCTTACAAGGTCTTGCACCAAGAGGAATGGATAACAGGCAGAAAAATTCCCCTCCCCATTTTCCTGCCTTTTATGAAAACGACTTCACTCCGAGTCTTCAGTGTCTCCCAGGATTGCAATGCTGAAGGCTCCATTCCGAACCTTCAGCGTTGCAATCTTGGGAGACGCAGAGGCTCGGAATGCCTCTGCTTCAGCGCAGAATGACTTTTGCTCCTCTCTGCAGCCGAACAGTTGCCTCCCCCCCATGCCCACGCCACCACTCATGCCAGCCATGCCCATCCCCTGGGCTTATTTTCAGGGTAGAGGTAATATTAGCTCCCCCCAAAACTTAGGATTGACT